GGTCATGCCGCGTACATCAAGAATCACGCACCTACGCGCGCATTACCTGACATGACGCCATACGAGAAATGGAACGCGCGGAAGCCTAATATTGCGTATCTACGCGAATTTGGATCCGACGTATGGGTGCTAAATGAAGCACTTAACTTATTGAAGTTAGCGCTGCGCGCCATGAAGTACACCTTCGTTGGCTATCTAGATGGACCGCGCGCCATCCGCTACTACGACGCATCCACACGCGCTGTGAAAACTTCGCGCAATTATCATTTTGCGCCCGCTTCGCAGCTCCCACTCTCTGTGACAACCGACACACCGGAGCTACAGGAGGAGTCCACGCCAGATCAAACGCATGAGGGGGAGTCTTCCACCGAGAATGCACTGCGTTCCGATCCGAAGAAGCGAAAGCACATCGAAGTGGAAGAAGCGCAGGTACCTGAAGAACCTCGGAGATCAAAACGAAAGATCGCACGTCCGAACTATCGGCTCCTCAATGATCCTGAGGCAGATGACGATGACATGGATGCTGCTGCATCTGCCGAAGTAATCTACCAGGCCATGTGCACTTCTATGGATCCAGATGAGCCAAAATCGTTACAGGATGCGAAGAACTCACCGGAATGGCCCCATTGGGAGCAAGCAGTGCAAGCTGAGATGAAGCAACTGCATGATATGGGGACATGGGATCTTGTAGATCTACCCCCAGACCGCAAAGCGGTAGGCAACAAATGGGTCCTGGTCAAGAAGACCAACAAGGAAGGTGAGGTAATCAAATACAAGGCGCGTCTAGTGGCAAAAGGCTACTCACAGATCCCTGGCATGGACTACACGGAGACGTTCTCGCCCGTGGTCCGCCTTGAGACGATACGAGCTGTCCTAGGGCTAGCTGCAATCCTCGATTGGGAAATCCAACAGATGGACGTCAAAGGCGCCTATCTAAATGGAATCCTGAAAGAGGAGATTTATATGCGCCAGCCTGAAGGGTATGCAGACCAGACGCACCGTGTATGCAGATTACACAAGACCCTCTATGGACTCAAACAAGCCGGGCGTGAGTGGAATATTCAACTTAACCATGAGCTAATAAATGCGGGTTTTAGG